TTTATCGAAGACATATACAATCTAATACAAAAGTCTGTGATTCTTGATACCGCCAGTATCGTCAGGTCTTTTCTTGGAGGGTTATAATTTTATAACATCACACTATATTATAATTAGTTACTGGCCAATTATGGTCGTACTAATTATCGCTTACTTCATACCTATAAAAAAATTGAGTTGTAATAGCAAAACGTGCATCTAGTTAAAAAGTAAAGTGTCTTGGTGAATTATCAAATTTAAGTTACTTTAAAACGAATAAACAAACTAGCTTACTTAGGCGTTATTAAATAGTGTTATCACACAGACCACAAAATCCTGATTTTCTTCATTACTCTCAAACAACTCGGGCAAAAACTTAAGTTCGGAAACTCGCTAATTTCCTCCTTGTACTTTCTTCTTTTGAAAAACCGTCTAGCAAATTCCTTGTTTTGCCGAACAACGAACTGAATGCAATCCGTGTTGTTTTTAATTACGCCCAAGGTATTTGCAACTTTCCGAACACAATTAGATAGTAAAATTGGCTGCATGAATAAATGACCACCATTCCTTGAAACAAATTGACCGCTGACCTGCGACATTAATTCATTAATTAAATTCGTAGCGCTATCGGTACAAAGATACATTTCCTCTATGGAGTCGCGGATAGAATAGGCCCAATTAGTGTGTCAATTAAATTTTCCGTAAATGTAGCATCGGTTTAATGAAGTTAATATTAGTTTAAAATTACAGAAACTTTAATAAATAGTTACTTCATTTATTACCATCATCATCGCCTTCCACACAGTGTCGTAACTAGCATTTTGAAAATTTTACAGTAGGGCGAAAAAACGTATTTTAGTGGGATATAACAGTCCCCACAGTGTTTAACTGTAGAAGCTTTAAAGCTTCATTCAGAACCTCGCAATTAGTGGAATAAATTAGTGGTTTCAATTAGCGAAGAAGTTTGTTCCCTTAATTTCAATGTAAGCATTCAGAACGTCAAAATTAGTGGTAGACATCTTCAGTTAGTAGAAAAAGTTATCAAACTTTTAACTTTTCCACTAATTATACTTCAAAATTTGCGAGAAATGTCATTTTGGTCTTTGCTTATCTTCCGTCAAGAGAAATTGTGGTTATAAATCAAAAGATGAGTTATTGAATGTGATTGCACCCAACAATGCCTAATTACACTCTTCTTTACGAGTTAACTTTTTTTTTTGGCAACATTTCAAATTGTCACAACACGATGCCTACTTCGTATTCTTTTTCAGTTACTTTTTACTAGCCGAAACAACGTTATATAACACAATCCTCATACTGAGTGTTTGTAGTTTCAATAACTGCACTAGCAAAAAACTAAAATAGTTAAATATTATGACAAAGCCTCGATTTCAATATTATTTTGATGCCAACATGAACTGTAACCGGGACGGCGTGAAATACATTACCAACATCTCAAATCAACTGAAATGCACGAAGCCTGTAGGTACTTATTTTATTTACACTCATTTACTTGTAGTGTAGGAGTCAAGATACATAGTCTGGATAGATAGAATATACGTTGGAATACAATAAACAATTTTAATTTTGAGTACAATTTTCTTTGCCGTAATAATATAGAAATTTTAGTATCAAATTAATAAGAATTTTGTTTACCAATAAATCAAAATATTAATTAAACGTTAGAAACGAAACATTTACCTTCAAATAAACTGTGGAGCTTCTGAGAGATTTTTTGTCTTGTTTATTCGAAAAATCTTTTCCATAATCATATTGACTACCCGCAGTCTGTTTTTTGATAAAAACTTTCTTTATATGCAGACTTCTTCCAGGAATACATAAAAAATCTTCCGAGACATTTGTGTAATGGAAAGTCAGTGGAGCGGCTAACCGAAAGGATTTAGATAATATTTTTACAAATGTTTATTTTCCCCTCTTTGCGTATGTGCGTGTGTGTAGGGCTCTAACATGGAGAGGAGGCGTTTTTTGGATCTCTCTTTAGCATACTCGAAATTCTGAAAAAAAAATATGATAAAGATACTTTATCCCATTTGAAATGTGAGTTTTTTTTATATAAAAGTGATTTATGTTTGATATCTGTTTTTTTCTTACTTAATCAACTTTTTTTTCAGTTTATTTTTATCGCCAGTTTTTGCTCTTTTGATTTTTGGTGAATAATAGTAATAATAATAATGGAGTCAATAACATTTTCAGCCATGGTTCAAAAGCAGTAATTTTTTTCCAGTATCTCAAGATTATGTAAACTGATCAGAAATGAAGTCAAAAATGCAATAATCTACAGGGTTTTCCATTTAAAAAAAAATCATTCCTATCCACTCACAGTTTCTGAGCCACCCTGTCGAAGTTAAAATATTTTCTTGAAATATGTACAGGGTGGGTCAAATTCGACGCTTTTAAATGGAAACATACTTTTCTATAGGAGATAGACGAAAACTAATATCGGTGTCTGGAGCTCAGTCTTCATCAAAAACATGATGGTGAAAACCGCACATCAATATCTGTTACCGTTTCGGAGTTACGGGGTGTTTTTCAAAAATGTGCATTTTTAACGAATCGCTGTAACTTTTTTGCTATGGAAAATTTTGTATTTCTATGAAAACATTTCCAAAGCACCTTTTTACGTAGAATTTAATGGTTTAAGTATAATTTTTTTAAAATTAATAATTTAAGAGTTATCAACAGAAAAATTGATTTTTTATTTGGGACACCCTCTATATTTTTAATTAACTGAAAAGAATTTAAAATTACCTTTCCAAAAATATAGCACACTTGATATTTTGTTATAATCCCCTTCGAATTACAGAATTTTTAAAAGTTCGCCACTTTTAACTAGTAGGCTTTGGACCCCTTATTGATGATATGCCCCTAATGGAACTCGAAAACATATTTTTCCAGCAAGACGACGCGACGCCCCGCCTCTGAACGCTGAAGTTATCAGCAAATTTTTGCAGCCAATTTCAAGAATAAATGAAAAGCTAACCAAGATCCCAGCTGTTGGCCGTCGAGGCCGTCTGACTTAGTGCCCATGGATGTGCCATGGATCTAATCCTATGGATATTTTTGCGAAAGAATAAAGGTTCCTTATTATTCCGTATAATCTATGCAAGAATTAGAAAAAACTTAGCAGTTATGAGAGGGTATCTTTCACCCCCACTGAGTTAATGAATTCCGCGAGAAATGTTCAAAAACTCCCCGTCTGTCCATAACATAAGACGGTCGATATGTCGCACCTGTAATACCTGTAGCAAAATCTCATGTCTTATTGTTATTAGATATAGTTTAAATGTGTTGATGTTGGTTAAATATATTTTAAATTGTTATAAAATTCTGCATCTCTTATAGCAAATATTATTTTCGTTTTAATTGATGCTCACAACTAGAATTTTTTTGCATTACAGCCGGTGCCGTTCAAAGCCTACTTATTTAAAGCGGGCGAATTTTTATATACTCTATATCTCGAAGAGGAATCGAGCAAAATATCAAGTGTGTTATATTTTTGGAAAGGTCATTTTATTTTTTTTCAATAAATTAAAAATATACAGGGTATCTCATATAAAAAATCAAATTTTCTGTTGATAATTCTTAAATTATTAATTTTAAAAAAATTATACTTAAACCATTAAATTCTACGTAAAAAGGTGCTTTGGAAATGTTTTCATAAAAATACAAAATTTTCCATAGCAAAAAAGTTACAGCGATTTGTTAAAAATGCATATCTTTGAAAAACACCCCTTAACTCCTAAACGGTAACAGATATCGATATGCTGTTTTCACCATCATATTTTTGACAAAAATTGAGCTCCAGACACCGATATTAGTTTTTGTCTATCTCCTATAGAAAAGGGTGTTTCCATTTAAAAGCGTCGAATTTGACCCACCCTGTACATCCTAATACACACTTTAGGTACGCACTTATACCGGGTGCGTCTCAATAGTGGCTCCCCCTATAACTTTTTTATTTTTTCAGATAAAAAAAAAGAGATTTGGTATGTTAGTATATGACATAAAATAGGACTGATTGATGTATTCAATTGTTTTTGGTCATTTCCTGTTTCACCGGAAATGACTACAACTTTTGATTTTTAAATGGCACCCTCGCTTTTTTTTTATTTTATTCGATAGAATATTACACTGAATAGATTGACATATCATATGTCAACTTTTGACATTTTCGAATATGATTTATTTGAAATTGCAACATGCGATACATAACGACAATTTGACTCGAAATACCAAGTGTATGGTCCCAAATTATCCGCAAAAAAAGCTTTTTCCAAATATGCTTATGAGCCAACCAACCTAACCCTCTTTGCATTTGAAAAAATTGAGATATGATCAAAGCTATTTTTCCAAGACTCCTTCTTTAAAAATTAGTGTTTTAAACACAGCCATGGCACTCTTGATTGAAATTTAAAATACAATTTTATTGTAAGCAAAAATATCAAACGTTGACATATGATATGTCATTCTGTTCAGAGTGTCATTTTCTATCGAATAAAGTAAAACAAAAATACCGAGGGTGCCATTTAAAAATCAAAAGTGGTAATCATTTCCGGTGAAACGGGCAGTGGCCGAAGAGAATTAAATACGTCAATAAATACTAATTTGTGACATATACTAACATACCAAATTTGTTTTTTTTATCTAAAAATATAAAAAAGTTATAGGGGTGAGCAACTTTAGAGACGCTCCCGGTATAAAATTTCTAAGTTTATTATTATAGGAGCAACAGATGCCGGACCCGATAAAGTAATACGAAAAACTTTTGAACCGTGGCAACCCCTATCTGCGGCAACTTTTTGATTGTAGTTGGCAGTTGGCACCCTGTTAAATGTGTATTCCGTTATTTATAAATATACGTAAAAATGAGGGTTTGATTAAAAATACGATGAGCGTAATAATCCTGCATCATCAGCTTTTTTCTTACTCAGCAATAATCGTTTTCTTTTCTTATTAGGATTTTGGATAACAAATTATACCAACATTTCCTTTTGTTACAGGTATGAAACCACGCATGAAAAACCATTTCAGAGCTCACCAGCTCAGCGTCTGGCTCCGCCTAATCCCAGAACTACATCGCGCAGGCATGGAGGACGTCGTAGCCCGTCACAACCTCTTCAGAAACCACAACAACGCTGACCTCTACGATGGTGCTGTCAGACCGGACCCATTATCCAGAGTCAGTTACTACGACCCTACCATGGAACTTGTTAGACGTCGACCCAACGCAACTCTAAGCGCTCTTGAAGTTGCTCCTACAACCATCGATACAGTGGTAACGACATGTATTAATGTAGCACCTTCAGGAAATTACAATCCTCAAGTTTACCAAAGCAACCAGACAGATACTTTGGCAACTCTGGAAGCTGCAGGGTATGCCGCTTACAGTACTGCGTTGAGTGTCACAATAGCAATAGGATGTTCCCTTTTAATTTTAAACGTTCTAATTTTCGCGGGGGTGTATTATCAGAGAGACAAAACGAGAATGGAGGTGAAGAATTTGCAACAGCAGCAAACTCGAAACCAGCAAACGTTCGAAACCATATCTAAGCATCAGCACTATCATTTAGGACACGCTCAAAGCTCCAATATAATCGTAGATGTAGAACAAGACACCTCCGCTATGATTTTAGCTGCAAACGCCCAACAAGACTATCACGCGATGAGCAAAGTCCAACAACACCTCTGTCCTACCAGTATTTCAAACACTCTAAAAGCTCCCCCTCCTAGCCCTAACGTGATGCAAAACTCATGTATGACGCTCCCGAAGAACGCATCCATGCAAAACTACAATTACGCGCAGCAAGGTTGCATGACTCTGCCGAAGAACGCGACCTTGATGAACAACACCGCCTGCGTTATAGCGGAAATGAAGCACCAGCAAGGGCTGACTGCGCATCCTCCGAATGGTAACGCCCCCATGGCCTTGAACGTTCCAAAGCCTCCCCCGCCTCCTAGATCCAAGAGCCCCGAGAGTCAGCCGTTGCTTACTTCTTCGGGGCATAACAATAGTTCCAAGGGTAACATGAGGCTGCCTCACGCGGCCATGAGTGAAATGAGGGTGTGATAGTGCTTAGAGGAGTCTAGGTATAGGAGCGATTATGGATTTGACGACTTTAGATTCTAGGAAATTGAAATTTGTTTTTTTTTGTTTAAGTGGGTGCGTCTGTAATACTATTTTTTATATGTAATTTGCGGTGATACGTTGATAAAATGAGGAATGATAAAGCAAAGTGTATATACGGGTGAGTCTTAAAAAGTGCAAATATTTTAGGGCTTGTATATTAGCATTCTTCAAATAAATCCAGAATAATCGAGTTATTTTACTTTGAAAAATAAAAAAAATGTTTTTCCTAAATTTTGAGAACCACTGAATCTTTTCGGTTTTCTTTCTTGTAAATTTGATCTACTACCTATTTTTTTCAAAAATGCCAAATTTTGGTTTTTTTTTCGCCAAAATATCTGATGGATGTGTTTCTGAGGTTGAAATGTACGACCCCTAAAAATATTTGCACTTATTTAAGGGTTCGCCCTGTATAAACAATATGTAATAAAAACAAACCTCGAAAATATAAAAGGCCGAATTATATTTTAGTAAAGTACATTTAGTGTACAGTGCGTGCATTTTATTTTGTCTCTCCACTTTTAACAGACTAACATTTTATTTTGGTATAATATTCATTAAAAATTATAGTCTGTCCAAAATACTAATTTATCAAGGGTTACGATTATTATTTTTTGTAAATTCTACAAATGAGACACCGTTCAAAGCAATGAGTTTTGTCTAATACCAATAAGAAAGTGTGGCGAAACAATCCTTATAACTAAATAAACTCTGGTATTATTTTCAAAAATACTATAATGAAACTTTAAACAGTGTCATCATTCTGCTCCAAAAGTTACGAAACCACTGTGATATTCTTAGTTTTTAATCGTCTTATAAATAATTTATACTTTCCGATTTACTAAAACCGCGCAACTTTTGTTCAAAAACAAAGTAAAATAACATCTTAAACTATTCCCGTGGAACTATACCCTTTGTTTTATAATTCCTAAATACATTTAAACTGGCCAACTTTATAAGTTTAAAGATTTTCTACTTTCCAATGTATTATAACACTCTTAAATGTAAATAAAGGATTACATTGTCAAATATGCGAAGTTAATTATAGGTTAGTTAGATGAACAAAGTAACATAATTTAAATAAATTAATACGATTTTTCTTTTTTACGTGTTGTTTTCGTTTTGTTGCTGAAAACAAGATATAAGTATATAAAAAATACTTTTCAAAATCTAAGTATCTTTTTAAAAGGAACAGAGAACATTCTAATATGTTTAATACTTAAAAATATTGTTGAAACTAGCATTTTCCCAGTTTTCGTGTTTCTATTCTGATTGAATAAAAATCCTTTTACAAAGATATTTTTGTCAGTTTGTGATCCTATTTTATATAAGTTTGATTAAGAAATATACAAATGTCGGTATCAACTTGAAACGAATATAATAACAATCAACTAAAATAGAGAACATTATCAAAAGAAATATGTTAAATATTAAATATGAAAGACTTTTTCAAAAAACCGAAAACAATAAAATCGAAATAAATTCTATATCATATCATTAAATTTTACTAAATGTTATTTACTTTTTTAAATAATTAGATATATAATTTATCTGCATATTCTTTAAATACTATTGATAGAGTGTATACCGGTGCGTCTCAAAAGTGGCTCACTATAACTTTTTTATTTTTTCAGTTAAAAAAACGATATTTGTTATCTATACTAATATACAGGGTTTCTCACCGTAGCCGTTCGTTAGAAGTTTTTGAGGTTAGGAAAAACTTAGAAGTTTGAAATTTTGAAACTTAGGGTTGTTTAAAATTTCCTTTCATTTAAAAATATTTTCATTTTGGTTACACCGGAAGTCGCCATTAACTTCCTTATTTCAAATGGAACACCCTGTATATTATTTAATTTTTGGATTTCTCAGAAAATTTTATGATGAGTTTTATTAGATTTCCCTATACGTATTTTCAACTGTTTCTCAGTTATCTTGATTTATTTGAAGTTTTTTACATTTTACCCCTATTTTTAACAGTGGGTCTTTTACTTATTTTGGTATGGTTTGCTATAACTTTCTCTATACCTATTTTCAACGGTTTTCTTTTTAATCCGTATATTTTACTTTAAAATACTAATTTTTAATCGAGGAGCCTCGGAAAAATATATTTGTTCGTCTAATATTTTTCGTGTCTTGTCCTAACCGGTTAAAGAATGTCATAATCAAAAAAATATAAAACTACCAACTTACGTTACAATAGAAACAATAGTTCTGAAGATATTTTCATTTAAAATAAACGCATTATTTTCATTTTTTGACACAAATCCGAAAGTAATCAAGATACCGGGGTTTTCTTCATAGGTGTTTGTCAAACTTCTAATTACGCAATTTTATCTCTTGTAGTTTCTGAGATGCCAATGTTGAGCATCGAAATTGTCACCACCCTATATTCTAATATACCAAATCACGTCTTGTTTTGTGAAAAAAATAAAAAAAAGTTATATAGGTAAGCCACTTTGGAGATGCACCCGGTATATAAATAATTTACATTTAATGTTGTATGTGCTACAGAAGGAATTTGAATAAAATTTAAAAAAATGCATAAAAAACCATCGACTAAGTACTGAAATATAATTGACATTTAAACGTAAATTATTTATATTATAATATAATCATTCTACTTCGCGTGGAAATTTTGAAACCATATTTAATTACACCTTTTGTATCAAAATTGCCAATCATTAGTTATATAATATGTATTGTTTTGTTAAATATCCAGATTTATATACAGGGTTGTTCACCACATACGACACGGAGTATTGCAGCCAAACGATGAGATTTTTACAAATTGTAAGTTTGGGGTTCGTTGAAGGACTATTAGAGCTACAATTTAAAAATATTTTTACAAGATACAGAGTGTCCCAAATAAATAATAAATATCAAAGTTGTATTTTTTTAAATGGAACACCCTGTATATTATTACATTTTTAGTTTCTACGATTAAAATAAAGGTAAATTTGATTAAGGTTTATTATACTTAAACCTTACCGTTAATTTTGAAATATTTTCAATTTTGTGAAATTGCAGTAAACATTTTAAAGCTTCATTTCTCCAAGGGTATCAATGTTTTTAATACTAAATATTTACTGAAGTTTATTCATCGATCAGTTATTCTGTTGCAATAATAAAAATAATACTACCTTATACAGAGTGTCTAAAAATTTCTTTTAAATAATTATTAGCTTCAAACAGCAATAACTTGTTTAATTTAAATGGAACGCCCTGTATATTTTAGGAGAATCAGATGCACAATTTAATTGTCTATCAAATTGTGTTATACCATTTTTTACCTACCCCCAAGTTTTCGTAGAAAATGTAAAACTACCAACAAACAAATTTTTAAAGAGTACTGATACTAATATTGTCGATATAATTCGTTTATTTCATTAAAAAACTAAAAAAAAACTGTTTAAATATTTGTTAAAGAGGACCAATTAATATGATTCCAGTATTCAAACTACATGAACTGACTGTTTGCGTTGATTAATAATAATTGCTCCAAATACTAAAAAACTGAATTTTATATGGGTATTAAACAGTGTGATAAAAAGTAACACCTTAAAAATGATATTTCATTTTTTAATAAATGCTTATTTATAACAACAGAGACTTTAATTGTGGTAACTTATTATTATATTGATTTCTGACTCAAATCCACATTTATTTAGAATAATTTATTAACGAACACAATTAAGTATGTAATTAATTAGTATATGGGCGGAAATAATGGTGTTATATTTAATTAATGGTATACTCTTTTATAAAGATTTAAATAGTTTTCTTTTTGTATACAAATGGGCTAGTAATATTATCGTTTTGCTAAAAACGATAATATTACTAGCCTGTATATTTTGTACATTTGTTGCTTTAAAAACAATCTCAAATGTCAATATCCCATGGGTATATCGATAAATGAGGTCTAAATTATAAGAAAAGGCATTTTCTACGAAAACTTGTAGGGATAGGTAAAAAATGGTATAATACAATTTGATAGACAATTAAATTTTGCATCTGATTCTCCTAAATATACAGGGCATTCCATTTAAATTAAAGAAGTTATTGGCATTTAAAGCTAGAAATTATATAAAATAAATTTTTAGACACTCTGTATAGGGTAGTATTATTTTTATTATTGCAGCACAATAACTGATCAATAAGTAAACTTCAGTAAATATTTAGTATTAAAAACTTTGATACCCTTGGAGAAATGAAGCCTTAAAATTTTTACTGCAATTTTACAAAATTGAAAATATTTCAAAAACGGTAAGGTTTAAGTATAATAAACCTTAATCAAATTTACCTTTATTTTAATCGTAGAAACTAAAAATGTAATAATATACAGGGTGTTCCATTTAAAAAAATACAACTTTGATATTTTTTACTTATTTGGGATACTCTGTATCTTGTAAAATTATTTTTAAATTGTACCTCTAATAGTCCTTCATCGAACCCAAAACTTACAATTTGTAAAAATATCATCGTTTAGCCACAATACTCCGTGTCGTATGTGGTGAACAACCCTGTATATGTATTGTTTTGTTAAATATCCAGATTTATATATATTACAGTTGATATAATTATATTAATTTATCAAAGTATTGTTAATGTAATTTTTATAAAATTTATACAAAGTTTTTTGATCCTGTGGTTTAAACATAGTTGTTGTTTTTAGTATTGTTTTAAAAGTTTTTAAAATAAACCATAATATGTTTATCTTTATTCAATAAGTAAATATATTATACTTATTTTATTTTATAAATCCTTATTTCTTAATTTTGTATCATGTTGTAAATAAACTTTATGAATTTTGTAAATTATAAAAATGAACTGACGAAATTTAAGCGTATTAAATGTTTTGTATTTATGCGGTAAAAGTGGTAAAACTCGTGCCAAAATACTATCCAAGTGCATCGACTATTTGTTGTTCATATGGACACGGACTAAAAAAACGCAAACGGACAATCTAGGAAGTCGTGTATATGAAATTGAAGTATTATTAATATAATGCCATCAACTGTAACTGATTTGTATCATACCAATCATCAAAAAACAAAATATGTTTATTTTTTTGGGAAAATTGGTTGTTCAAATTTAGAGCTCCAAAATCTACATTTTTTTAATGGGAAAATTTCACTAGATATTTAAAGAAAAATTTACACACCAAACTTATGTTAGAAATACTTAATATAATTAGTTTAGCACAAATTAATACGTAAATACACAAGTAAATCATGTTTTATAATACAGGGTAAGTCTTAAACAGGTGGAAATACTTTTTGCAGTGGTATATTTCGACCCCAGGAA